AAGAAATTGAAAGATGGATAGGATGTATTTTCATAAAAACTGGCACGAGACAAACAGTCGATGAAAACCGTCAGTGGAACTCACCGAAAATGCAAACTTCGATGGCTGCACATTTCCGCCGGATATGCCCAGACTAGCTTTTCGTAACAACTCTAGTGCTTCTTGTATTCGCTTTGCAGACCACCCACATCCTTCGAGTGATAAAAATCCTTCTGTATGCGAGAACAAAAAAATTATATTGATTTATACGGGGGTAATAAAAAAAGTTACCTAGTGTTTTCACTGTCTCCTCATCAACAACTCTGCTTTCTGCCTGTTCCCTCGCACGATTCAACGCATCGTTCAGCTCTTCTTCCCTCACTTTTGCTTTATCAGTCCCTTAACATGACAGAACCACTGAAAAATTCCCTCAAAACAATTCTTTAGTCGATAATCACATGAAAGCTTGGACGTTTTGACGAGGTTATGATCGGCCTTCCTTATACCCAAAAGGTGTTGTGTTCTGCCTAGTTGAGGGAACTTTTGTTGCCCTACTTTGCATGGGTTATAATGTATGGATACGATAAGTTTTGCATTCATGGTACCTTAGCAATTGGTTATCAAGCTCTCAACAGTCGCAGTTCTAGTAAACCACTAAAAGTGCGTTGTCACTATTCAGAACAAAAGTAAACTCAGGTAAGCTTTGAAAGAGTCGAACACTCAGCTCAGTTTTCAAAAACAACTACGAGGAGACTTGCTTGCCATTCTTACGAGGCCAAACTGATGTTGACCCAGTACATTATAATGAATATATGTGAATGGAGCAGGGGATAACTTTAAAAAACTTGTTCTGGTTCGATCAAATACTATGTAAAAGAACAGTGATAATGTCTCGTTAAATATGTTTTACTGCAAGTGTTGCTTAACTGTAAGCAACACGGCTCACACGATCAATGCTGTTTCCGAGTATAAAAACATCGAGAATTCCTAACCTGAACTTGCTTGCTTAACAGGTCGTCGTTGTTGAAGTCGCTGAAGAAGCAATTCTTTCCTACGTGCTATCGCATCCGATGATTCGGTAGACGTGACATCATCCAGCGTTTCATTCATTCAATGACTATGCTTAAAACTGGTTATCAATCTCGCTAAAATATGAAGTACTCAATAAAGTGGGAAATGCCACATCACACAAGAATACAAAAGAGAAAATCATGAAGAACTGTAGTAAGACGGAAATTCCCATGGATGCAGCTACAAGAAAAAAACATTCTCACACAGTCATTTATTCGAAGACTACACTAGAGCAAAACTACAATATAAAGAAGTAATTGAGCTATGTTACTCTCTCGGACCCATCAATCGTACTTTGCATACTGGGATCTTTTTGGATACCATGGCAGAAGAATTTGTGAGAATGGGCGACCGCTTCCTGAAAAAAAGCATACTTGCGATAAACCTTCAATGAAAAAATTCAAACGAGAAAGCATTTTAAAATAAAATCCCGTTATGAAGAAGAGATGATTCGGAAGTGTCGTCTCACTTGCTCTTCCACATAACAAAAAGGCTCTTGGATGAATAGTCAGTCAGTGAACAATATGAATCTCAATTTAATATTTTTCTCATCATATTCCTTGAGAAAGTTTTCTCATACGGCCTTGCAAATGATTCATTGAATAAGAAATAAACTCATTGAGCCCTCAATGGAAAAATATATGAACGAACGATTAGGAAACTCACTGTCCTTAAAATGATCGAAGTCCTCGGGATGAAGCTGCATGTAATGTTCAATGACAGCATCTCTTGTTCTCCAGTGATGCTCTCTCAACGTGCCCATTCCGTAACCCAAAGAACTCACTATTCCAAGGGCAATCAATTTAGGGACGAGTGCTGAAAGTGATAATGGCCACTAATCGCAATTATAAGCCAAAATCCGGCAAGGCCAAAGCTACAACTTGAGAAGCTTCAAGTGACAAGCAGCAGTCACTCAGGAAAGTTTTTGATGTAAAATGATTGATGTGTAATGTGTGTAAATAGCTTCCTGAATGCACGGAGCCCAAGCCCATCTTGGGGTGCGCTTTGTTTCCGTCGACACTCACACACCACAAAAACGGCGGTCGTCATTCAAAATGCACAAAAACTAGTCATCCTCACTTTGCGGTATCGATCGGTACCCCCAGTGCTATCACAGTGTTGGCTAGAGCCACCGTCGCAACAAGCTCGCTTGCTCGCACGCGCGATTCTACCGGCGTGCCGACGCGCACGCTGGCAGAATCGTCGAAGTCTGAAAGCAGCCATTCTTGACGGACGTCACAGTTTCAGTGGGGCTTACGATTTGTGCTTACTCCAATGCAGTCAGCATGAGAGAGGTAATGCAAATCACTAGCGCAAACCATTCGCTCCTTACTACACTTTCAATAGTGATACAGTAATGTCACCTCAAGATAGCAAAGGGCTGCGCCGCACGCGAAGGGGGCGGGATGACCTATTACCGAAAGATGCGCGGAACGGACGTCCCCTCTTGTTGTCGCCACCAACTCAAACCGAAGAAAAAGACGTTGTGATAACTCGAGAATTAAGTTTAAAAATGGCTACTAGTGAAGTAAAAGTTCATATCAGCCGTAGCGGCACGTGATGTAGGATCGCAAAGCGTCGCTGGGGGTAGGAGTTCTAGAAAATAGGAAAAGAACAGCCAGATTATATCAGATGCTGCTACATCATCTCATGTAGGCCAAGTCAGGAAACAGTTTGAAGGAACGGTAACAATGTATCGTACATAGTACTGGAGCTTGATCTCACGCATTTATGCTTCACCGAGGCAGAGAGGCGTTTTACAAATATTTCTACTTTAGAAAGCATAGAGAAAAAGCAAATGCAGGCTGAATGATTTGTTAAAGTAGAAACCATAACGAAGAAATCAAAAAAGAAGGATAAATTGCTAACTCACCGAAGTAGAACGGTTTTTTGTTCCAAATATTGTAAAGCTGCCCAGCAGCCAATGACAGACCAAACATTGCAGCAGCTCCCTGAAATTCAATTTGTGTTGCAGATAGCATAATATAAACGACCGAAACGATAAAAGAATCAAGCATTCATGAATAAAGAGTACAACTATAGAGAATAATGCTGAGCGCTTGAGCGATTCTGAGAAGACAGCCAACTCTATTTAAAAGAAAAAACATGTGTTCTCCCGCCGTTCAATGTTGATCTTGCATTCTGATAATTTTGTAGATTCAGGCCTTCTTTAAGCGATTCCGTAAGCCAGCTAAACCAAGACACCACGGTTTCCAAACATCCCTGATAGTGTTTTGCCTTTTTGGTTGTAGAATGTCAGAACTGCGTTTTCGATCTCGCATTATTTCATTACATGGCATACTTTAACAAATACAATTGCGCGGATTTACGAAAAAGATAATCTAGCCTAATAGAACAGCTGAAGGTGTTATAAGTCTAATGACGAGTCTTCCTGACTATGGTAATGAGAGATCCAGGAACCTTTTTCGTTTCTGAGTAAAACCGAATGAATGGGATGAATGAAGCACGTAGTACGTTCCCTATTCTGAAAATCGGCGTGGATCACATAATCGCCATTACCATGTAAAACCAATAAGTGAGCTTAAAATAAACAAACCTGAGCAGGTCGATTCCATGTGTACGGATCTAGCAAATTGACTTCACGAAGACCTCCACGAAGATACTTTTCTCGCCTTTCATATTCCTCTGGACTAACCCAAGTAGAGGAAGCCATCTGTCATCAGGAAAACAGTAAATTAAAGGTTTTTTGAAGGCAATGCCGTCAATAGACACGAAAAAGATCTGGTAATGCCGCACCAAAGTAAATGCAGCACGCTGCAGACTGGGGCAGCACGCTGCATCAGTCTGCAGACTGCTGCCCCAGTAGATGCAGCCTGTGCAATTGGAGCAGCAGGCTGCCCCAGTCTGCGTAATCGTCAATCGATAGTTCCTAGTTAGTTACTCATGCTGCGTGATGCTGCCACAAAGTGAGTGAGTGAAGAGGTGGTTCCGGTTTTGCGGTTTCATCAACAGATATTGTCGTGACTTTAATTTTCTTTGTGTTCCGTATCAATCTTCTTCGTGCGTGATGTCTTGCGTGAGTTTATTACTTAACCACTTATTTTTCCCCTTCTTATTTCAGAATTTGATCTTGGGAATGTCGCCCTTGAAGCAAGCGTTTGAATCTCCGTCATAGGTGTCAATTTTTCCCTCCTCAATATTCCAGCTAATATTGACGTGTTGTGCTCGGATGTTTTCATTCCCACTATTCTTACTTATTTCAGAATCAAAACACGTCAACACTAACTAGAATAAAAAGCAGGGAAAAATAGACACCCACCGGTACTGCAGCTTAGGACGCTTTCCTTACGAGAGGCATTTCTACGCTAAATTCTTAAACACGAGAGGTAAAAAGAAAATAATTAGCAAAGCTGAAAGCTTTCACGAGACACCATGCACACAGAAGACTGGTCATCGATACCAAACGCGATATAAAAAATAAAAGTCACAACAAAATCTGCTGATCAAATCGCAATACAGGAGTCATCCCTTCACGGACTCCTTTGCTTCGGCATTTCCAACATGAATCATCGACAGCGTGCTATCAAACAGCATGCTGCATCTACCCCGAATGCGTCCTATCCAGCAAACTTATTCATAAAGGCTATTGTTCTACTGGGAAATCCTGGAACGATCTTGCGATACTAGCTGAAATCGTTGACTAAAAAAATGAACGTCTAGAGGCATACACCAAAACTATTAAAAACGTCTTCACCTAATCGAGGGGCAATAATTTTCAAATTTGCGGCTCAAGACAAATCTCTTCTGACTCAAAAGAACTCAGCCTTCTTTAATTCTCATTTATTGAATCCCTGAACTCAATTCTCATTTATTACCAAAGCAACGCAAGTACTGTATTTTTTATGGGTAGGGGGATCATTCATCCAATTCTCAATCGTATTCTCTATTGAAGGCACATTTCAGGATAAGATGGCTTCTGGGTTATCACCCTAGGATGGGTCTATTGCCCCCCTGTATACCATGTGTGGCGCTAGCAGGTCTGTAAGCGGCCTAGATAGGGGAGGGGGTTAGGAAGCCTCTAGCTTCCCACCTAACGACAACGAAAGGCAATACTGGACGGCTTTGTCTCGCTGTGGTCCGCTCTTTGCACAATTGCAATAAGGGAAAACTCGTCCAAGTATACATTCCATGTCACTTCCGTCATGATAATCTTGTACAACCTCCATTTTCATAACTTTGAGCCTACTTTTTCCCAAAATCGGCGGATTTCTTGCTTCCGTCACCACCGCTGCACTATTACCAAACAATACTTCCGCTTTTCGACTCAAAAAGGTTACCTCAAAACTATCGAGAACAGCGCTTCAAATATATATTTTACCCTCCCTTCAATATTAATCGAAGGAGCTCGTACAGTCCATCCATAAGCTTTACTTTAGTACATTTTCAACAGAGCTGTATAATACGATATGGGTAAGAATTGTCAGTTTATCAGCTACACGAGATACAATACAGAAATATATGGCCCTTTGACCATTTTTAAAGAAACACCACACAGTTCACAAAGTACATTTATCTCAAGACCATTCTACACTATATAAGGTGCTCGCGTTCATCTAGCGATCGAATTTCGCAGGGAAGCGACCCTCTTCGATCAGCTCATCCCATTTCTCAATCCAGAAATTCGGGCAGAAATCCTAAAAATAAATACTTACCGAGAAATTAATTATAGCCACAAATCTTTTTGAACATAAACACCATAAATACCAGATACCTACCGAAGCCAAGAAAATTAGCAGCGACTAAACAAAAGACTAGATGAAATAGCGATTTTGAAGTGAAAGCTGACCCAGATCAAGCAACCAGTTTACTATGACTCAGAAGAGTAGAAACCTGTCCTCTCAGCCCCAACTATTTCCCATCTCCTCTGTGCCCCCTCGCACTTATCAATACCTGAGGCGACCATTAAAAATCCTGATTTGTGTCAATAAACTTTGTATCCAACAAATGCAAAGTCCAATATAGCAACTGCAAAATCTTAAGCGACAAACTACGTGACCAGAATTAAACCAACTTCCCAAAAATAAGATACCTTGAGTCCCAAATGGCTTACAACTATTCCATTCCTATAATAAATATGAGACATTTATTGAGTCACTTATTACTTTTATAAACTACATCATCCTGAAAGCCATGTAGACAGACAGACACATAAGCTACAATGGGCTAGGATCCCTATCCGAATCCATCCCTCACTTAGTTTTGAACTAACAAAAAAGTATCCAGTTCTATGGGTTCCTTTTTATTATATATGAGGAAAAAAAGGATGATGCAACTGCATTGTGGTACAGAAGTGAAAGCGACAAAAAAGGCAAATTAATGGTCTTATCCAGTTGTTCAAATCGAGAATAATTCAACAAACCTTATACACATTCTGGAAGAATTTGCAAGGCTTGTAGTCCTTACCCATCAATTCGTTACAGCGATGGAAGTCAACGTAATATGCGAAGCATTGACGCTGCTTGCGGACCTAGTAGGCACAAAGTTAATCTAATAAAGCAAACATAATATCTCACATTAAAATGCCAATTATACTCATGCCCAAAAATGCTATAAAATGCTCACAGGTTGGCAAGTAATGTAGAGTAAAACGTGAATAAGAACAATTGCCAAAAAAGCGGCAGCACAAGTTCAAAACCCTCTGAAGCCAAATCTTCCACTCAATCATCAACTTTATAACCTTGCCAGAATTATCAGGGACTTCTTAAAGACTCAAAAAAAATCTGAAGTTTTAGGTACATTGGCATTATCAAAAAATAGCTTCGCATAGCTTCAACACAATATGATCCTTGATGGTCCTCGTACTTGTAGACGCCGCTATAGCTTAAAGGATAAGGGATTCGAAAATTTACATGAAATAGTATTTACCAATTTGTCAGGTGTTAATAAAAATGTCGCATGAAACAAGTGGTTTTAATGCTGGACAAGCAACAAAGAACTTGAGAGAATATTTATGAAAATAATGTAGAACGTAGCAACTTAATGAGTGTTAGGGTAACTGCGAATTTTGTCATTAAATAGCCTTACTCGAGGGAAATTTTTCACCCAAGCAACAAAACCGTATTACGCGAATAGCACTTGCCTTCTTACAGTGTGAAAACCAGCACGCTTTCCGCTTAGTAACCTGCACATACCTGCGGAAATCGAGCATCATAAGGTGCTGCCCACAGAAGATCCTTCTTTAACTTTTCATTGTGTTCCTTATCGAACCAGGCCGGGGAATCCGGGTGGCGGATCGCGGACGAGAATTGTTGCTAGAATCCCACTGTATTAACAAAAAAGCACTCAGCACTTATTCTGCACTATTTAACAGCAATTAAAACAAGGTATGACATGTTGGATAAATCCCTCACTACCTCGTATTTTCTGAGCCGCTCATATGTAGTCAGAGGCACTTCTACCTCAGCAGGCATTTTCAAAGTTCTGCTCGAAACCTGGGCAAGTCACATAATGATTCACAAAGCTTTGCCGTACAGTTTGTTATGATGGAACCGTCTATTGGGTCGACGTTTCAAACACTCGTCATCTTCAAAGATCGGAAAAAAAAGTTCGGAGCTTCTGATCTGTGGCTTACTCGATCAAGCTCCCAAACGCGCTCGGCTAGTTGCAACAACTCCCAGAAACTCAAACACCGAACGATCCCGGCCAAGAAACCAAAATTCTACGGTTCCACCATCGTTGCCGTCCTACTCGATTCGGTAAAAAACTAGGGACCGGTGAGACACCATCGACTGCCATGCGATAAGACCTATGCGGTGTGAACACAACAAAGGATGAATGGCAGAAGCTCATTTGTTGTGCCAATGCACTCACTTCGGTTGTTCAGCATCAGATTTCTCTCGCGGATGTGCAACGCTTCCTACATCTTTCCAGCACCGATATCATTCTCGGCTAGGATTTTGCATTTTATATCAAAACCAGACGGATCGCCTAGCTAACGCCAGGCTCTCCTCCTTCTTGTGTCAAACACCCTATCCCGAGAAATGTTGAACTAAAGAATTTTATTCCCTTTTTCAAAGTTTATAGTCTTTAAGTTTTTCCGTGTTTAGCTGAGCGAGGGTATGAAACTGAAACAGAGCTCGAAATCCTTTGACACAATAGAAATCGAAAACTTCTCTCTTTTTTTGATAGTTGTAGTAAGTCTAATTCTCCACTCCTTTTTTGGAATAAATGACGGTCTCCTGTATAAATTTGACACAGGACTAACAGGGAAGTGCAAATGGTATTCAGTTAAAGTCGGTGCTTACGCCTTCGATTGGAACTCTCGAACTTAAGCTCTCTATCTTTGCAATAAATACCTATCAAAAATCCAACTGTTGGACAACCAAAGGTGATGCTGTGGAGATGTTCTGAGTAATGATAGCACCGTTATCAGATATTTTTTACCAATGGACCCTTTTCTTTAGGAGATATCATTTGTTGAAAATTTTAGATTACAGGCGGTCGAATAAGTTCTGTCGCAAATGACATCGAGCAAAGAGGATCCTTCATTGAAGCACAAACCTTGCTGGGTAGCGGTCGTAATCTAATAGTAAGAAATG